AGTGTTCATGTATTCCTGCAGTGTTAACGTATCCCTGCAGTGTTCATGTATTCCTGCAGTGTTCACGTATTCCTGCAGTGTTCACGTATTCTTGCAGTGTTCAAGTATTCCTGCAGTGTTCTTTTATTTCTGCAGTCTTCACGTATTTCGACGTGCGTTCTTACTGTTAGGTGGATTATAGGCATACAATAAATTTGAGGAGTTATTCACATAGGAGGAATCATTTCTAATTGAAAAGGTAGATATACCGTATTCGAATTACGGAGCACCCAGAGCGCTCTCAAAATTAGAAATAGGGGGGCTGTTATGAGAATATTATTTTGGTGAAAAACAACAGAGTTGAAAGATCGTAAATTTTGGTTTATGCTGACAGCCTGAAATGTTTATGTACGACGGATATATCTTTCCAGAATTTAATTTCCCACAATTAAAGATGCATATAACACACGTATTATACACGAATAAATAAGTCTTGTGTACATTGATCAATCGGAAGGGGTGCTCATTGGGATTGTTCACTAGCCTATATATTAGCAAACATCGCCGTGAGCGCTTATAAGAGCGGGGCGCTTATTACGTCGAATACGGTAAAACGTATTTAAATCATTTAAACGCTACCTTTTCAAACGCAGAAGGCGTTCCGAGCTGATTTGTTATTCAGGCAGGTCGTATCTCACGCCCGGCGGTGACACCAACATTATACGTGTTGATAAAGGGGATCATATTGAGGTTGTTGTGACTTTTTCACTCTTTGAAAAGTAGCAAGTTTACAACAATACACTTGCTAATACCTTTCAAAAGATTCAAAATAGCGGATACAAGTGAAACCTTGACTTTTATATTTCACTGTTGATGTTTTTTTATTGAACACTCACTGTTTACATGGTGTGCTTTGACAACACAAACCAATTCAAACACGGTAGTCATATGTCTCACATGACAACAGACCTTACTGTACGTCTGTGATAGAAACATCAGCACGTGTTTTTCCTTTGGGGCTATATTTGAAATATGACCAGAAACCTGAATAGAACGAATACTTGGTGTCCTTTGTCGTAGTGTGTTTGACTAGGATATTGCGTAAGAACAACATACCCACTCACCTATTGACTCACACCCCTATGATTACTAACCACGTAGTATTAGAAGTAGTAGTAGTAGTAGTAGTAGTGGTTGTGATTTACTAATCCAGACTATATGACAATTCGACCCTATGTAATACCAGTAACATAACGACAAACATCGCTCACTGAAAAAGATGGGCTTCTTAATGTGTATACTGTGGCGCCGAGGGACATACAGCGCCGTACAGAACACACACCCCATCAAACAGGAACTCGTCCTAAGATAAATATCACACAAGCTCATCTCCCCAAACCAGCGACAGGCAATTACATACCCGAGGAATCTGACATATGGGAAATATCTCACCAAACATTTTGAAACCGCACAGAAAAAGCTAACGTTGCTGCTTCCCATTTTGCAAAAAACAGTAGCTCCACCAACCACCCCCGAACATTCCAGGTTAAAATATAAAATCACTCAAAATACACCCCCAAAGCAGCACAAGCCGGCTTTGTATTGTACCAAATGCTTAACATACATGAACTACTGACAGTCATAGAACAACAAAGAGACGGCCTCAGCCACAGGTGAGGACAACATCAGCTATATAGTATTAAATCATATCCCTAGAAAAAATCCAAAAATTTACTCAAATTCCGGAACTCTGGCACCACCCCTCAATCATGGAAAGCAGCTATGGTGGCATCAGTCCTAAAACCAGAGCCTCATTCATATCTCTTTAACATCCTATATTATGGAATCAATAACTAATAACAAGCTCAAATTCCAAATCGCTAAAAATCACCTTTTTGGCCCTGACCAGAGTGGCTTCACCCTAAATCGTCAAACTTTAGACCAAAGTTTTCATTTAGAAACAGGATATCAGAGTAGCACAAGCATAAAAACACAACACACTGGCCATATTTATAGATTTCAGAAAAAGCTTTTGGTATTGTATAGTACAATGGCCTAATACAAAAGTTGGAAAGTAAAGCTATAAATGGTAGAATACTGAATTTAATTCATTCTTTCCTTACCGACAGAACCATTACAGTAAAATCCCACAACACTCTCTCTGATACATATTCTATAGAAAGTGGCACCCCACAAGGAAGTATCCTGTCGCCAACACTTTTAGCCCCCTGATTGACGACATATTTCCAAATTCCACCCAAGATGTTTCAACAGCAAAATATGCTGCTGATGTTTCCCTTTGGACAAAAAACAATTAAACAGGCACAAGAAAAAAATCAACCTGTATTAACCTATATTCAAAACTGGGCTTCCAGATGAGGAATCCAAATACACAGTCACTGAAAACGCCATTGGCCTATTACTAATATAAAAGGGGGCACGGGTGGCCGCGTCGTCTAAGGCGCCGCGATTCGCTGTGCAGAGTTGCGTCCCTTGGGCACGCCAGAAACCTATGATTGCCGGTTCGAATCCAGGTTCGCCCCGATTATGTTTCTAGGTTTGTCAGAACATTACCCGTGCTAGTGGGTTTCACCGAAGTGTTAAACGTCTGAGACCTGCATCACTTCGGTCTTTCTACCCACATTAAGCTGACACGCCGTGATATAACTGGAATACTGTTAAAAGCGGTGTTAAACCCAACTCACTCACTCACTAATCAAGCAGGTATAATCTCCAAAATCAAAATAAATTAGCCTAAATTACCAGCACAACCCCATGTACCAAAACCATACAAACAAATTATTAAAACATAAACAAATCAACACATAAATTCAACCACAGCCCCACACAAGCCCCATACCACGCCCACCTACTTAAACTCACACCAAAACATAATCTAGAACACATAACCCATGCACCACTACCAGAAAAAAATATCCACAAGAAACCAGCACAAGACACAGACACATCCTAACACATGCACCACCATTTCAAATTACGTGCATTTGTTGGAAAATACCAAATGCGCAAACATGCTCCATTTTATAAAATGATAAAAAGCAACTGTATATTTCCAAAACTTAAACCAAGGGTGACAAATTTTCGTATTGTCGTGCTTGTATTAATTACGACTTTCCTGCAAAATAATTACAAAGCATGACAAGATAATACACCAAAGCCACATTTCATTAAAATGTCTTTGTTGTCACAGTGTCGGGATTAAGTGTCAAAATTTTAGGGGCGGTCGGGTAGGCTAGTGGTTAAAGCGTTCGCTCGTCACCCCGAAGACCCGGGTTCGATTCCCGACATGGGTACAATATGTGAAGCACATTTCTGGTGTCCCCCGCCGTGATATTGCGGGAATATTACTAAAAGCGGCGTAAAACCATACTCACTCACTCACTCATTCAACATTTTAACAAAATATGATCTTATATTTTACATGAATGTCCGTAAAGAAGGATCTAAGAGGATTAAAAGATCGTCAATTATCTCATGTGTAATGCATTATTTATCTTGACGTCGCAAAATATTATTGTGAAATATTTTCTTAAATTACCAAGCTCTGTAAGCGCCTTGACAAATGGGATGTTATGAGTGAGTGAGTATTGTTTACGTCGCTTTGAACAATATTTCAATTATTTTACAACGTGTCAGTTTGACGTGGGAGGAAAGTCAGAAGTGATGCATGTGTATTTGGTGCTGTGGTCACAACACACGCTGATAGATTTTTTCAGGCACGCCCAGGGGACGCAATTCTGTAGAGCAAGAGTTAGTTTCTTAGCATGAAAACACGTTGGGTTCTAAAATTGATACCGGCAACAACAATAGATAGAGGATATTTCACTGTCGCAGTTGTAGGAGCATATTTTATGCAAAACAATATGTACAGCGCACCTAAAAACTTGCATTGGTTCGTTCTATTCTGATTTCTGAAAAAAACGCGTTTGTTTACAACAAGTCGACCACGTGATATGCGCTGGAGTGTGATATGGCGCTGGCCTGTTAATAAGAAATTAACGGTTTATAACGAAACATTTTCGAGATAATAACAAACGGCAAGAAGTCATATTAACTCCATAAATGACAATCTGTCATTATATTGTCGTTAAATATCGAGTGTTCTGTTCACTGTATATAATAAATATAATAATCGTTTCCAAAGAAACGATCTCAGATTTCTTTTCATTTTTACTTACATTTGTAAGCAACCCATATTCCCGTTGGTACATTGTTCCCGCACTAATACTAAATGTCACTATCTTACAAGACCTCAATATAGTTGAAAAATAAATCGAACATATTGTCATAGCGACTGATTTACGACTACCATTGTCTGAAGTACATTTGACCCCAAAGGCAAATTACCCTGTAGCCATGTCTCCATAACTTAATTGTCATTACATTTTAGGCGCTAATCCCCGTTGTTAATCCTCACCAACATTTCATTGTATATTGACTGACAGCCAAACTGAGCTACTTTACACTTCCCGTTAATTACTGTTATTTATAGGATGACATGTATTGCCTTAATTGTTCACCCCCCCCCCCCCGAAATCCCATGTCCAGAGCAACGTCATTGTCTTTCCATTGTTGTTCATTACTATATATGTGCTACCATTACACTGTTAGTAGGGTGTTAGTCAAGCTTGGTATTCCGAGTGCTGGTGTAGGGACGACCTCGAGCAGGATATGCCGCTCGTAGGAAACGCCCTGAGGTGAGCTGGAGCTCCGCTCAGCTCTTGTACGCCTGAGCTGGAAGGTCCGCTCATAGCTGTGTTTGTGTTGTCAGAGCAGGTATTCCGCTCATTGTGCAATTGTTGTTTATTGTTTACATGTTGTGCATAAAGCGTTCCGGGACAGTGATGTCGATTTTGTCCTTTATTCCCACAAGAGCTAATTCCCCGTCAACATGCGCGTTGACAATATTTTAAATTCATATATTCATTACCCTAAGTATGTGATGTCTGTCATACGTAACATGCATTGCACTCAAGAATTTGAACAAAATTAATACTTACATGGATCATACCCGACGATGACGTTATTGCTGAGTTTAGGAATCCAGTGAACACCACCAACTAACTGGCACTCTCCACGCACTTACATAACGCTACTACTTTAACGGACAGTGATCAAGCATTGACTACACTGAAATGTCATGATGTTGCTAAGGCGCTCGAATCAATAATTTGAAATCGTGAAGGCTTCGTCTTTGTGAACAAGCTGGTAACCTGTTTTGCAATACCCGTCCCGCTGGTATTATATTTCCTCGCTATATTATTGCTTCACAAAGGTTTTATTTATACACAAAGCACTTGGATCATTGCCAGGATGGGTTGAGTGGGCATGGGAATGAGCGATTGAAATCAATACATAATCATGTTGAAGCTATGCTTCTGTATAGTTTGTTTGTTTGTTGTTTAACGCCGCACTCGGCATGATTCCAGTTATATGACGGCGGTCTGTAAATAATCGAGTCTGAGCCAGACAATCCAGTGATTGACATCATGAGCATCGATCCACGCATTTGGCATCGGTGACATGCATCAACCAACCGGTTGCATCAATCAACCGGTTTTCCGCAAGCCCGGATTGGACAACTAGATCCCAATCCTTGAGTATGATTGCTCTGGAGGCGAGCGGCTGGTTTCGGGACGGCCTTGTTGGTGACACTAAGTCCCTTGTTGTCCGTCCTGACCTGTCTTGTCCCGAGAAATCGGTTTTGAAACCCGAGGACGTGGTTCTCGGTTTGACGAGGGATATAAGCTCATGCTCTGAGGCTTGCTTCCTTGGCATGGGACGTCGATCACGTCTTGCGGAGACATGTCACTCCTGCCTTGGTGAGAGACGTCGCTCCCGTCTGAGGAGTTCCCTCCTTGGTGAGAGACGTCTCTCCCGTCTGAGGAGTTATCTCCTTGGTGAGAGACGTCGCTCCCGTCTGAGGAGTTACCTCCTTGGTGAGAGACGTCGCTCCCGTCTGAGGAGTTACCTCCTTGGTGAGAGACGTCGCTCCCGTCTGAGGAGTTACCTCCTTGGTGAGAGACGTCGCTCCCGTCTGAGGAGTTACCTCCTTGGTGAGAGACCCCGTCTTGAGGCTTGTCTTACGGGTGAGGAGTGCTGCCTGTGTCTTGCTGTGTTAAGTACACAGACACCTGCCGCCGGGATGATTGTCGGTTTAGGGCCTTGACAGGCCTCCTTGAAGATTCACATCTATAGATTAGTATTATATCCACCTAAATACCACTTTATAGTGTCTCAGATCGCTGTACTTAAAGAAAACAGGGAGCTTAAAGTGAAGCCCTTTTCCCTCTACATTCTCAACATAGTCTCTATCAGAAGTGTTTGGCTTGTGTTGGGTCCGACTTGGCCCGGGCGGTCAAAATCAACTTTAAACACACAGACGTATCTTAAAATGTATTTACATCTATAGATTAGTGTTATATCTACCTATATACTACTTTATAATGTCACGGTACATCGTATTTAAAGAAAAAAAGGGGCTCAAAGTGAAGCATTTTTACTGTATTTTCTTAAGAAAATCTATGTCAGAAGTGTTCGGTCCGACTTGGCCCGGGCGGTCAAAATCAACTTTAAACACACAGATCTATCTTCAAATGTGTTTACATCTATAGATTAGTGTTACATCTACCTATGTACCACTTTATAATGTCACAGATTATCGCATTTAAAGAAAACCATGAGTTCAAAGTGAAGCCCTTCACATTCCTCTACATTCTCAACATGACTAGTATTATATCTACCTATAGATCACTTAATAATGTCGCACGATAACTCAAAGAAAACTGGTCTGTTAAAGTCGAGCACTTTCACTGTATCTTCTCAAGAAAATTTCACCAATTGTGTTGGAGTGAAGTATACTCTTTAAAGTGAAGCCCTTTTTTCTCGGTATGTGTCTGGTCGGAAAATCCCTTGCTTTTACCTAATCCGTCGTGGGTTTTTTCAAGGATCATACTCACAGGGTAACACTTGGAGAAGGTAAGGTGAGACACTTTGCATTTCAGGATAAACCTCTCCCTCAACCCTGCTTAATGCTTCTATTAACTATGAGTGTGTTTAGGAAAACAGGATTATCTGAGACAGTTGTAATCTGCCATACCGCGAGAATACGTGCTGCATCTCCGAGTACGGTACAGAAACTGAAGTAAGTTGGGCTCTCTTAGTTTTCTGTATGCTTACACATCATCACGTCATACTGGATTTACTTTAGTTTCTTATTCTAATACTGCTAATATTTGTCAGTGGCCAGTGAAAATATCACAAGGGAAAATTCCAATATATACAAAATATACAATTTGTATATATGGTATATCCAAAAATATACAATTTTGTATATATGGTATATCCAAAAATATACAATTTTGTATATATGGTATATCCAAAAATATACAATTTTGTATATATGGATAGATTTAACCACTGCTTTACTCAGTTCCTTTATACTGGATTCTCACAATATGTGGTTGATATTGAAAATATTACTAATAATACCGGACAGTATTATTGCATGTGACAAATATACTTGAAAACTATGTTCATTATGACAACTATATTTGGAGTGTTTTACATAATAAAGAAATAGAAGATTTCAGCAGACTATATATAATACGTCCGCCTACTGTTTACAAATAAGATGATCTATACATACAAGTAGTTCAGAGTAGTTTTAAACAGTGTCGGTAAAATAAATTTATCGTGAATGGCGGCAAATATGAATATATACAATTTAATATATATGTTTCTGTTATGTCATGGTATGTTGATTCTGAATCTAAAATATTGCTTGATATTGTTTGCCAAACAGTTGTATGCACTGTCCATCGTGATACTTCTACTTAAGTATATAAAAAAGGATGTTTGTTTAGACATGCGTTCATTGTAAACAACGGCGCCGTGTTTTCGTTTGCTGGTTAGCTTTTACAGGTCAAAAGCAAAGTTAATCGCATTACTTTCGTGACGCATTTTAGGCCTGTCATACAGTTCCTGAAACAAATATATCCAATACAGCAGATGGAAGTCAATCATATTTGGCAAGACTAGATTACTGCAGTTATATATTTTATCAATATAATCAAACAATTGTTTTTATTTTTGTAAAATATGTTCATTTCAGAAACTAGATGTTAGTCTAGCCAGCGGTCTAAACTCGCATTAATTTGGTTACACGTTTCATGATTTACAGTATTCGTGAAGAATATGTAACAATTAGCCACAATTAGAGCCTTTGGTAGGAGTAGAGGGAATGATAAGCATAGACTTGCTAAGTATTTTATGATATTCATGCTAGCTCAAAAGAAACTTTGATTTATGTTTGTAGAACACCCCAAAAAGAGGGATAACACAAGTGATATATTAAGATGACATACAACTTATACATACTTACGTGTATAAACTTCTATCAAACAGTGAGGGATAACAGGTGTTTGCATAGAGGTGAGCGTATCCTGCACCACCGGTGGAACAAACACACGCACAGCCAAGTTAGTTGTTGAACCCGAAAAAACACGGAAACGATTAGCACAAGTCAAAACAGAGAATTTCATCGGACATAACTCCATTTGCTACTTCTGTGGTAGTCACCAATCAACCCATTTATACTTCCAAAAATAGCTTTAACCCTTTTAACGCTTTTGAGAAATTCAACAGTATGGGTTTGGTTTGACAAAGCAAGAAGCACAAATGGGGCATGTTTCGGCCAATGATTAGAGTAATCTTGCAAGTCTAAGGGTCCAACAGGAGTTATTTCTGCGACATGCTATTTCAAAACCCAAAATTCAGAGGGATATATATGAAAAGAAAGATCGAAATAATACAAATATAACTTCCTTCCAGGTGAAGGCTATCACTTGAAATCAAATAAACAAAGCAGATTTTAGTCAATGACACATCTCTTGGGGTAGAAGTTCATCTCTGTCACCATGCTATGGTATTTCTGGAAAGGAAAGTTAACTTACAAAGTTGTAATATACATGAAAGGCTTAATGTTGCTGATTAAGCGCAAAGATATCAGTTCTAACTGACTGCTCAGTAACATTCATGTAATATTAGTAATATTCAAATAAGTGTACTTGTTCTAGGTGTGTGTGACGTGGATACATATATATAAGCGTATAGAAGAAACGTCAACAAACTTGTAACTATGTATAAAATAATTAAAAAAAGACATGTCCTTCATATATAATTGATCTTTTACCACCAGCTGTGTCACAGAAGGTCAGTTATAATCTCAGAAACCGCCATGATTTTGTAGTTCCATTTGCACGGACATCTACGTTTAAAAGGTCTTATATTATAGATACATTAGGCCAAAGGAATAATCTATCATCAGGGATAGTCCGTCAATATCTTATTTTAAAGCTGTCGCATCTGAGCAGCCTACATCACCACCTATGCACTATAATTGCGGTGAGAGATCTACAAACATATTGCACACGAAATTGAGACACAATTGTAGCACACTAAATTCCAACCTGTTTCGTGTTAATTATCTGATACTATTTCCTGTAAATGCGGAGCTCCTTGTGAAAATGTATTCCATTTCTTCTTCCAATGTACCTTATATGATGTTATTAGGGAGACATTACTGACAGCTATCGATAATCTTGGGGGACAAAAATTTCTAAATAGTATTCTTTTTTTGTGATCCAAACTTAGATGTTTTCCTGAATACAAAAATATTCTTGTCTGTACACAAATTTATAGAAACGACTAACAGATTCAGTAGCTAGCATATTATTGTTTCCAAACTGTTAATCATTAATATTGTTAAATCTATATACAACACTAACATGTATAATATTAGCATATGTTTGAGATGCACACTGTCTTCACTTTCCAGCACATTGTACATATCCTTCATATGAGCACTGTATATAAATTTATATTGCGCACTATGTTTCCATAATGTGATGCTTCAACTGTAAATTGTTCATTTTCATTATGCAATATTATGTATAACTGTATATAGGGAGAAGGTGGTGATAAGTGCTGCACTTGTGCCCAATCCCTTTGTCTTTTTGGACAATACAATATGTTTAATAATAATAATAAGCAACCAATGTATTATGATCAGGGTCCATTGGTATCCCTTCAGCAAGTGCGAATCAGGTCCTAACACATATCTTTTGTCATGTATCACGCGCTATACAGTCGAACCTCGCTTATCCGGACAATTGCTTTTTCTAAAATGTTGTCCGGATAAACGAGTTTC